TGTATTTACAGTATCCATACTCTTTTTATTGTGCGTTTGACACATTTTTAATGTATATTAATTGTAACATACATGTTCATTATGTAACACGGCATAATCAAAACAAGGATGCTTAAAAAACAAACGTCACAGTATGTGAGAAGCAACCATTCTCCGACTTTCTGGTTGAACAGGTTTGGGTGTGGCAAGAATAATACTGGCTGGAAACCGGCCTGTCTGGTTAAACTGTGAACCTACAACAAAGGTATTTGGACTTTGAATGTAGTCACAGAACCAAGTTTTATTTGTTAGGGGAGTAAATATTTAAAAAGAAACAAAGTCTTGTAGTAAGCAAACATTTCTGGAGTGTAAAACAATCCACGGTTCTTATATAGCGCTTTTCTACTCTATCTGAGCACTCAAAGCACTTTACACAACTAATTCATTCAGCCAATCACATTTTGTAAATGTTTACTACATAACATTCATAGGCATTCACACTCCGATGGATGTATCTTGCCCAAGGATATTTGGCATGCAGACTAGAGGAGCCTGGGACTGAACCACCAGCCATCTGGTTAGTAGCTGACCTGCTCTACCACCTGAGCTACAGTCAGCTCTTAATTTATGTCTGTGAAGGTCTGTGAAAGTTTTCAGTCATCCAGGTCATCGTAGTCTAAGGAGCTTGGAAAGAAAAGCGTCTGGAGTTGCTTGAAGACATAGAAGAGCCACCTCCACAGGACAAGACTCAGCGGTCCATCTGCATCTAAAGGACAAAGGTCACTCCTTAGATGATACCAATGTTCACATTCTGGACAGAGAAAACAGATGGTTTGAAAGAGGAGTGAAAGAAGCCATCATTGTTCACTGTGAGCGACCATCTTTGAACAGAGGCGGTGGTTTACGACACCAACTGTCTGCCATCTATAATTATAAGAATTATAAACCCATCAAACTATATAGAACCAACTAACATTTTGTTTATTAATCTGAACACCCTGAAATTTTATGATTTAGTTGAATATAAAATGGCA